TTGAAGTTAAGACATTTTAAAAATATGTAGATTGGTTTAATTTAGCAGTTTCCATAATCCAATGTCTCTCAGCAGCTAATACTTTTTGTAAAATAGCATTTAAAAAATTCAAAGTCAACAAAGCACCATACAGAATCCAAGCACCCTGTGTATTTCCCATCTTCACATAAGCTTATTTTTTTATATTACTTTACTTTCTCTTTAAAGACCATATTATTTTTAAACTATTTTTTGTATGACTATCTATACCCATTTTCTTTTCTCTTTCTTTCTTTGTTTTTGTTTTTTTTTTGTTTTTGTTTTTCAAGACAGGGTTTCTCTGTGTAGCTTTGCGCCTTTCCTGGAACTCACTCTGTAGCTCAGGCTGGCCTTGAACTCACAGAGATCCATCTGCCTCTGCCTCCTGAGTGCTGGGATTAAAGGCATGTGCCACCACCGCCTGGTTCTTTTTCTCTATTTATCATCTAAGTACATTTTAAAGCATATTCTACCTGTTCAGAGGTTTTCTCCATCTAGACCTGACTTTCTGTATGTCTGCAGTATTCTCTGACCACAAGAAATCCTTAAACTGCCATGTCAGCCACCTCATGGCTCAGCTTAGCAAATGGTGTTGGTGTATGGCATTGGTGGCTGGCTTCTGCCCCCAGGCAGTGGTCGGTAGCCTCATCTCTGTATGCCGAGGACCAGTCAGCCTGAGAGACTGCAGGACTAAGAAGCCACATTCAGCTCCTAGTTCAGAACTTTTCTTAGTTTTCTCAGGACACCATATGTAAACAGATTTTTCTTTGGACTGACAGCTCACAAACAATGACATGCAGACTTATTATTAATTATGAAAGCTCAGCCTTAGTTTAGGCTTGTCCTACTAGCTCTTATAACTTAAATTAACCAATTTGTTTTAATCTACATTCTGTCAAGTGACTCATTACCTCATCTCTCCATACTGCCCATGCTGCTTCCTCTGAGTCTGGCTGGCAACTCCACCTTCTTCCCAGAGTTCTCTCTCTACCCGGAGTCCCGTCTATACCTCCTTCCTAGCTATTGGCCGTTCAGCTCTTTATTAAACCAATCACAACAATATATCTTCAAGCGTACAAATATCCCACAGCATCAGGGGGCAGGGCATAAAACCTATTAATTTGGTGATTTAAAAATTAAAAAAAAAAAAAAAAACCCTTTTTAAGATAGAGGCTCTAAGCTGGTCGGTGGTGGCACATGCCTTTAATCCCAGCACTTGGAAGGCAGAGATAGGTGGAGCTCTGAGTTCGAGGCCAGCCTGGTCTACAGAGGGAGTGCCAGGACAGCCAGGGCTACACAGAGAAACCCTGTCTCGAAAAACAAACAACAACAACAACAACAACAAAGACAGAAGCTTTATGTGCCAAGCTGGCCTCAAACTCACTGTGATACCAAAGCTGGTACTGAGTTTCTGAGTACCCTGCCTCTGCCTCCTGAGTGCTGGGATTACAGATATGTACCGCCATGTCCAGTTCTGCGTGGTGCTGGACATCAAACCCTGGGCTTTATACAATGACAGACAAGCGCTCTACAACTGAGCTACATCCGAAGCCCGTGGGGGTACATGTACATGTGTGTGTGCGCGGGTGCATGTGTGTGATCATTTTAAAGACAATTAATCTTGACTTTCTCTTGAGAACACACTCGGGTGTGTCATGTCCTTTCCCCGAACACTTATTTACTTATCTGCTGTGTGTGTATCGGTCAGAGGACCACTCGTCGGAGTCAGTCCTTTCCCCCATCATGTGGGTCCTGGGTCGGATGTGGCTTCGGGAGCCTTACCCACTGAGCCGCTTCTCCATTTGTCTTTGTATTAACCCTTGAGGCTTAACGGCATACAGAATAAAACCCAGTTCTGGTTCATACTGGCTCACTCTGAAATTCTATCTTGTTGTAAATTTCTAAAAATTATGTTATATTTAGTGTGTGCGTGTGTGTATGTGCGCGCGCGCTTGTGTGCTATGGCATGTATGTGGAGATCAGAGGACAACATGGGAATCAGTTCTCTGCTTCCATCATGTGAGTCCCAGGAATCAAACTCAAGCGGTCAGGCCTGGTGGCAGGCTCCTTCCTTTTTGTTTTGTTGTTTTGGTCTGTGTTGTCTTGTTTTGAGACAGGGTCTCCCTGCATAGCCTTGGCTGGCCTTGAACCCAAAGAGGTCCTCCTGCCTCTGCCTCTCCAGGACTGGGACTTTAATTCTTTTTCGTTTGTTTGTTTGTTTGTTTGTTTTCGAGACAGGGTTTCTCCATGTAGTTTTGGTGCCTGTCCTGGATCTCGCTCTGTAGACCAGGCTGGCCTCGAACTCACAGAGATCTGCCTGCCTCTGCCTCCCGAGTGCTGGGATTAAAGGCATACCCAGCAGGACTTTAATTTTTTTTTTTTTTTTTAATCAGAGGCGTGGGCAGTCAAGCATAGCCATCTTGCTAGCCCAGAAATTCTTTGCAGAATTTTTTTTTTCTTTTTTCTTTTTCTTTTTTTTTATTAATTTATTTTGCAATACAATTCAGTTCTACATATCAGCCATGGATTCCCTTGTTCTCCCCCTCCTGTCCCCCTCACCTTCCCCCCAACCCCCGCCCCCCATTCCCATCTCCTCCAGGGCAAAGCCTTCCCCACAGACTGAGGTCAACCTGGTAGACTCAGTCCAGGTAGGTCTAGTCCCCTCCTCCCAGGCCGAGCCAAACAATCCTGCATAGGCCCCAGGTTTCAAACAGCCAACTCATGCAATGAGCACAAGATCTGGTCCCACTGCCTGGGTGCCTCCCAAACAGATCAAGCCAATCAACTGTCTCATCCATTCAGAGGGCCTGATCCAGTGGGGACCCCTCAGCCATTGGTTCATAGTTCATGTGTTTCCATTCATTTGGCTATTTGTCCCTGTGCTTTATCCAACCTTGGTCTCAACAATTCTCGCTCATATAAACCCTCCTCATTCTCGCTAATTGGACTCCCAGAGATCCACCCGGGGCCTAGTCATGGATCTCTGCATCCAGATCCCTCAGTAGTTGGATGAGGTTTCTAGTACAACAATTAGGGTGTTTGGCCATCCCATCACCAGAGTAGGTCAGTTCGGGCTGTCTCTCGACCACTGCCAGCAGTCTGTTGTGTGGGTATCTTTGTGGATTTCTGTGGGCCTCTCTAGCACTTTGCTTCTTCCTATTCTCTTTGCAGAATTTGACTCTGCAGTTAGTCAAGAGTCCTGGCTTCGCCTGAGTGGAAGCCACTGAAAGGAACCTTTCAGGCAGCAGGGAGCCGGGTGTATGAGCCACTGCCTCAGGCAGCATCTGCCCACTCCCTGCCCAGCGGCCTCAGGAGAGAGGTGCCCAGAGGAAAACAGGGGGAGGAGACAAGTGCCAGGAAGAAGGCTGAGCACTGATTCAAGCAGGGACTGAAACTTCAGATTCCAATGAACTTTATCAGTTACCCAAAGTGACTCAGAGCGTTAGAGCTGGCCAAGAGTGCAGTGTCCAGACAGGAAAGGGAAATCATGCATCAGCCAGCAGCAGCTTGGATGGGAAGGACACAACTGTTCACACTCAGGCCTCAGGCATCTTTGCTGTTCAGTAACGTGGGAGAGAAGGATTAGCCCTGCAGCCGCCTGGGTGGGGATAATGGTGGCCTGGGCCCATACCTGCCCCTGCCCCTGTGTCCTGTGTTCCCAGCAGACTCCTCTCCCTAGAGCTTTTCCTTGAACTCTGAACTCACCACAGACTAAGCTACTGTCCTTTTTTTTTTCTTAAGATTTATTTTATGTATATGTGTATATGTGAATTTTGCCTGCATGTATGTATGTGCACCAAGTGTGTGCTTGGTGTCCACAGAGGCCAGAAGAAGGGATCAGATCCCTTGAAACTGGAGTTTGAGAGGACTGTGAACCACCACATGAGTGAGTGCTGGGATCTAAGTTAGTGTCCGACTCTGCCAGAGAACCAAGTGTTTTTAACCGCTGAGCTGGCTCTCCAGGCCCAGCTATGGCCTTTTCTGAAGCTACTTAAACAAGAGGACAGTGATTTCTCATCGATCTGGAGGCCGGTGGTTTGAAGTCACATGACTGGGTTGTTTCCAGATACAGCACACCAACTTCCTGTGGCACCTTCACACAGCACAAAGAGATGAGAGAGCTTTCTGGGATTCCCTGCCCCCTTTCCCCCCCAAGACAGGGTTTAGAGAAACCTGTGTAGCAAGGCTGTCTGGGCTCCCTATTCAAACTCTTAGAATCACACTTGTTGTGTGTGTTGTGGTACCATGTGTACCATGGTGCACGTGTGGAGGTCCGAAGTTGGCTCTCTCCACCATGTGGGCCCAGTGATCAAACTTAGGTTTCTCAGGTTGCCTGATGCCACAGGATAAACCAGTTGTGGAATGGAAACTCTTTACTATGAGTCAAAATAAACCTTTCCCACTGAGACTTCATGTATGCCTGTAATCCCAACACTCAGGAAGTTGAGACAGGAATATCACAAAGCCTGGGCTATATGAGATGCAGTCTCAAAAAAAAAAAAAAAAATCCACCCCAACCCTTTTCTCTTTATAAGTTTATTACTTTTGGTATTTTGTTACAGTAACAGAAAGCTGGCGGATATAGGCATTAATTCCATTCTTGAAGTCTCCGTCCTCACCGCCTAGTTACCTCACCCACCAAAGCTCACCTCTCCAAATTTGATAATTAAAATTTCTTCAATGTTTGTTTGAGACAGAGTTTTATGTAGTTGGTCTTCAATGAACTCTCATAGTTTCCAAGGCAGGCCTTGAACCCCTGATCCTCCTGCCTCCCCTCTCCAGTGGTGGGATTACACCGGCATGTGCCATCACATCTGGCTGGCAATTAGAATTTCAGCACATGAATTTGGGGAGGACACATTCAGTCCCTAAGATAAAAATGATACTGGAAATTCAGGCCTTTGCCCTCTTTGCTCAAATATGAGAACCAGAGATTCAGCCAAGTTAATCCCCCCCCCCCCCCCACACACACACACCTAGACTTCTAGGAGTCCCCCTCCCCCAGGCCTTTGAAGGCAAGCTAGAGCTAATGAAGGTGGCCGAGGAAGAAGAACAGTCAGAGAACTATGGGTTCATGTCTAGGCTTCACCCTGACTTCTGTGTGACTTGGGACATGTGCAGGCTCTGCTCTGGCTGCTGTGTGAGCTTGGACAGGGCACAGCCCTCTCTGGGCCTGCAGTCCTCTGAAACAACCAAACAAGGAAAGTTGTTTGTGCTGTTTGTGGCCATCAGGTGTCCACAGCCCCAGGAAATTATGTCAGTGGGGAGGTGAGGAGCAGGGTAGGGAGGCCCCAAGGATGGGTACTGGGGATATTTTGAGACAGGCAGATCCCCCACGTCACTGCTGGACAATGGTCTAGGGGGAATCATTGTGTTGTGAGTGGAAAGTCCTTTTTATACTCCATTGCTGACAATAGTCCAACATAGTGGGCGGAGACCCTGGGGACAGGGTTTGGTCCTACAAGTGACTGGCTCATTGTTCCTGGCTGGGACAGAGCTGAAACAGGACACCCAACTGAGCTGGTGCAGAAACCAGGGCAAACCCAGAAAGCCCCTTCTGAACAAAGACAGGCTAGACAAAACCAGTTGTCGAGTATGGGGGAACTGAGGCCTACAGAGCTGAAGCATCTCGTCCAGGTCCTGCCCACACAGGCAGAGGGAGACAGTCAAGACCCTCAGGCTCCCATCTCCTTCCTCTGCCCCCAGGTCAGCCTGCAGCCCAGTCAGCCTGGCTAAACTGCCCTCCTCACCCACAAGAGCAGTCCACTGTGTGGCACTGTGTGGCACAGTGGAGTCCCTTCACCTTTTGGTGGGCTTGGCAATCCTTAGAGAACAGCAGTTGTGCCTTGAAGGTCCAGGCTCCGATACCTTAACAAAAGAACCAAAACCCAGAAGCAACACTCCATATTTGCCCAGAGAGGGCAAGTGGGAAGCCTCGGGTCACAAGGAAAAGCTGCCATTTGTTGACTTCCGTGATCCATCTCTAGGTCAGTTCTTCCACTCTAGATCTCAGAGCACGTGATTGAACAGAGAGTGGCCGTAGACTACCATGGCAGGCAGAAGCAGTCGGGGGATATACAGCCAAGCCTACTCTGTGGGTGGGTAGAAGCTGACCTTCAAACCAAATCTGTATGCTGCCCCCCTTCCCACTACACTGTCTGGGCCTGAATCAGGGGAAAGAGCACTGATAGACCCTCCTGCCCTGTGGCTGTGGGATACTAGAGGATCACTGGGACCTCTGGGGATTTGAACTTTTTCTTCATTCAGTCACCCTTGGCATTGTTACCTGAAGCTTACCTGGACCAAGCCCCCCTCCACCTGCTGGCTCCTGATTTCTCTGCTAGTCAGCATCATTGAGAATATCTATCCCACAGACTGGTTGTAAAGGATAAATAAGCCGTGTGTAAGTCCTGTTTGATGCCTGAGACATAGGCCTGTACATGAGCTCCAGACCCTATGACCCATTCTAAACAGATCAGCCCAAGTCTGCCATGATGATTGGAGCCAAGGGCTGGCATAGTGCCCAGACTGGAGCGACCAGGCATGATGGACATGTTGTCCAGGATCTTTTGATCTTGGAGGACAAGGACATCAGTGTCCTCTAGAGATCCTCCCCTCCATCCAGGACTACCCAGGGAAGAGACTCTTGGGTCTGAAGGGCCATGCCGGGTCACGTGGTATCCACTGAGAGCAGCAGCTATAGAGATCAGTATGCATTTACCCTTTTTGTCCAGCTCTCCCCCTTCTGTTTCCCCTGTGTTAAGTCCCTGGTCACAATTCTCCAGCTCTGGGGGGAGGAGCTGGGCAGTGCAGGGGGCACAGGACATTCATGAGATCACTGACATATACTGGAGGGCCGTGGTATAGCAACAGGAGCAACCCAAGCCCCTGGCTGATGCCCAGGAACCACACCGACCTTGGACATGGCCCCTCTCCCCTCTGGCCTTGAGTCTGCAGCTGGGCTGGACAATTCTTGGGCTCTTGTCTAGTGCCTGGGTGGCTCCTGTGCCCTTTCACAGTGGCCTTCGGGAGCCAGTAGCCCTATGACATGTTCTCAGGGTGGGGAGTGGGCAGGGAAGGCCCAGAGGGTAAGAAGAGATATTTTAAGGATAGGCAGGTCACCTCACGTCATTGCTGGACAATGGTCTGGGGTTGATGGAAAATCTTGGTCTGTCTTGAGATGAAAATAGCACAAGGCAGAAGGGTCAGGAATCTTACCCGCCGGGCAAGTGGCCTGGATGCTGGGCAGCAAGGCTAGATGTCCACCCCAAGGGGGCAGGCAGTCTGATTGGCTCCTGGATGTGGGACCACAGGCCTAGCCCTGGTTCCCTTAGGAAACACTGCTACCAGTGGCTGCCACAGAACTAGGCCTGTGTCCTCTGAAATCTGAATGCAGTGGTCCAACGAAAACCCCTGGGGGTAAGACAGTGTGGTCTCTATCCACACAGGTGCTGTGTTCTCTGGTCTCTAGAGCAGCTGCAGGTGAGGGGGATCTAGGGGGACTCCGGTCCATGATGAAAACAGCCCGAACCCCCACCACAGGTCAACATTCAAGGCCTCCACGTCATGATGTGCATCTGTGCCTCCAGGTCTCGACACAGCTCTCAGCTTCTCTGGAGGAAGGGTCTGCCTGTAGCCTGGGATGTGGCTCTGCCTGAGCAGTGTTAGAAAGAGACAGGTTCAGGCCTGCAAGGAAGACCCAGGACAACCCATAAGTGGAAGTCACAAGGCGCAGAGGGACTCCAGGCACATTAACCGTAGTATGAACACAGAATGTGGGAGGTGGGCATCTCGCGCTAATCTGGGCAGATTGAGGCTGAGCTAGGCAACGCAGAATGATTATGTGGGTCCTGCTCTGTGATGGCTCCTTGTCACTTGAGGGCGCTCTGGAGGTAAGCTGTATAAAAAGACTGCTCATAAACCAGCTACATAGGGAGCTGCGGTGAGTCCTTTGAGCTCAGGAATTCCAGGTCATTCTGAGCAACATCTTAATACAACAAAATGCACAGAGAGCAACTGGGGATGCCTCGCCTCTAATGGCAGAGAGGGGACAGTGGAGGTGTAGGAGGCGGACGAGGTGGATGGGGAGACCGTCCTCACAGGGACCTCCTATCCTTGAGGTCGAGTGAAGCCTGTCCCCTGTGCCTATTCCTGCCTAAACCCTGGAGCTGGCCCCGTCCACTGTCTTGCATTCTAGAGGACCCTCCCTGACTAGGGGTCACACAGTCCTAGCTACACAGCACAGCTGTGCTGAAGTGCCCTGCACCTGCTATTAAGAACCAGTCGTTGGACAGGTGAGGCACCTGCCTGTAATCTCAGCTCTTTGGAGATGGAAACAAGAAGGTAAAGAGTTAGAGGTCAGCTTCAACTACATGGATAATTGGAGGCCACCTTTGGTTACCTGAGATCCCTTCTAACCAACAACCCCCACCCCCCCTTTCCCACAAGAAAGAACCAGTTGTTGATTTTCAGGAATTTTGCAAAGAGACTGCCACTGTGTTGGTAATTTGAAATGTTACTTGCCCCACAACAATTGGCCATGCCATAAATAAAGGCCCCCTCCCAGGTCAGTTAAATAGTTGACATTTACTTGCACGTGTGAAGTTGTGTGAACTGGGGGACCCCAAGAACTAGAACCCTACTTGACTCTTCTCCGTGCTTGGCATAGTACAATACACAAGACAAGTGACTTAAAAGCAGGGTTGACCTGGGGATCTGAAGAGGGATCCCCTGGAGACTCCTGGGAGGCAGTAGTTGGAAGGCAAATGACAGAGATAACAGGCCTTTGTGTAGGTGACAGATGCTTTCCAGGCCATGCCTTGTCCTCTGACCATGCATCGAAGCACAGCCCAATAGGCAGCACAGCCTTCGATATAAGTTACAGTTTCCACCCGGCTCCCAGCCCGGGGAAGCCTCCAGATGGATCTGAAATCAGTTCTCAGGTGTTTGTCTCTTGGCCTGAGGATCTTCCTCCTAGCGGACTTCACTGTAGAGGCCAGGTCCATCCCAGGGGACCATGGGAACTCAGCCCTGCTTACCCACAAGAGTCCTCTAGTCACTTGTGATCTCACTCCTAGTCCAGGTAGCTAGCCCAGACTCTGCTGTGTCTTCTCTGGGCTTGCTTCTCTCTTGGATTTAGGAGGCTGAACTTCAGCCTGCCTGAACCCCAACCTTGGCAGGAATGGCAGCTGTCTGTATGGGAGTCAGGTGTCACTGCCTTTCTTAAAATACGACTTCCCAACTCACACATACAAATGACTGGGGACTTTGGGGTCCTGTTGCTCTTGGGACCACAGGATAAGTATGCCCAGCCCTTGCCAAATGAGAATTGCTGATGATCCTTGGGAGGACATCAGCCCATTTGAACAAGCCTTGGTCCCCTACAGCTTCCCCTCAAGAACGAGCACACACCTGAAGGGCTCTGACCTATAGTCGAATGTCCTTAGTCTCGTTCCCAGCTGGTGTGGACTCTGTCCGTCTTGAGTCATCACTGCTGATCGACACATCTTTCCTCACGGTGTCAGTTCTGTGAGACCTGTGCAGGCCCAGCCTGCGACGAGCCTGGGGGTTGGGGGTGGGCTCTGTGGGTGGTTTGGCATCTCGGGCAAAACGGACAAGTCTCTGCCCTGCCAGGAAGTAGAGCACAGGGTCAAGGCAACTGTTGGCGCTGGCCAATGGCCGGGTGATCTTGTACGCCATGTTGATGGCATTGAGGGTGTGGCAACTGAGGTCCAGTGACCGGAACGAGTAGTAGAGGGTGCGGGTGACATGGAAAGGCAGGAAGCAGAGGGCAAAGACGGCCAGCACCAGGGCAATAGTGCGCACAGACTTGCGCTTGGCCCGAGGCAGGCCTCCTGTGGTCCCATAAGCCGGTTTGAGCAGCCTTTGGGCCATGAGCACGTAACAGACCAGGATGACAGAAAAGGGCACAGCAAACAGCAGACTCAGCATGACGGAACTGTAGGCCACAAAATGACTGAAGAGCTCTCGGGCCGAGGTGTCGTGGCAGGTGATGCGGGTCCCCCGGACACTGGTGGTGACAAAGTAGAGCACAGGTGCCTGGCAGGCCAGCACCAGAACCCACACCACCGCAGCCACACGGCGGGCATAGCGGGCCCGGCCCCAGCGCAGCGAGTGCAGAGGGCGCAGGACACCCAGGCACCGGTGCACACTGATGCAGGTGAGGAAGAGGATGCTGCAGTAGAGGTTGGTGTAGAAGAGGAAACGCACCAGCTTGCAGAGCATCGTGCTGAATGGCCAGTGGTCACCCTGGGCATAGTAGTAAACCAGCAGCGGCAGGGAGGCTGCATAGAGAGAGTCAGAAACGGCCAGGTGAAACATGTACGTGGTGGAAGCGTTCCAGGTCTTGAGGCGGCACAGGAAGATGTAGAGAGCCACGACGTTCAGGCACAGTCCGAGCACGCACACCACGCCGTATGACACGGGCAGCAGCACATACTTGAAGTCCTCGTTGAAGCGGCACTTGTAGCCCAGTTCATCTCCCTCCCAGGTGCCATTGATGGTGCTGTTCCAGGGGTCTGGGTCTACTGCCATGGCCCTGCGGGAAAGGGAGGTGTGGAGAGGAAGCCATCAGGACGGGTGCTCTGAGAGTCTGTCCCCTCGTTAAGATTTGCCTAGGGCAGGAGGTATAGCCTGGTGACAGAACACTTGCTTAGCATGCAGGAGGCCCTGGGTTCATACCCCATTAACACACAGACTAAAGATTTGCCTAAGCCAGATGTGGTGGCACACTCCTGTGATCCTAACACTTGCGAGGCAGAGGTGGAATTGTGACTTCAAGACCACCTTGGGCTGCCTAGTCAGTCAGAGGTCAGCCTGGGCTAATAGTAAGACCCTGTCTCAAAACCAACAAACAAAACAACAACATATCGTCTACAAAACAAAACAAAAAACAAAGACAAAAAACAAAAACCCACTTGCTTACCCAAGTCAAAACTTTTATTGTCATGTGATCTGTACCTCTCCTGGACCCAGAGTCTCCTAAAGCCTCAGAAACTCCTTAGATCCATGAAAACTAACATCACATGATTCTAACCTCACAACAGGATGAGCAAAGATAGTCTGAGGGCTGACTGCCGCGCCCGTCAGCTGTTTTGTAAATGAAGCAGTATTGGAGCACAGCCATGCCCGTCGGTTGAGTTGAGTAGGTGTCATCAAGGTCATGTGGACTGTAGAGTCTAAAATATTTACTCTAGAACCTGCCGATCCTTGCTCTAAACCCCTGGACCACGGAGTTCAAGAGGGAGGACTACACTCTGGGAATCCCAGGCATGGACCTGGCCAATGCCCATCGTCTTGGCCAGTATTTAATAAAGTGTACTTCAAATTTGGCTAAAAAAAAAAAAAAAAAGATGGAGGACTCAGAGCCTTGGAACTGAGATCTGGAGGTTCCAGAGAGTTGAGGAGTTGTGATATTTGACCACACTCTGTAAAGACATCTCTGGTTTTTTTTTTTGTTTTTTTTTGTTTTTTTTTTTTTTGGTTTTTCGAGACAGGGTTTCTCTGTGTAGCTTTGCGCCTTTTCCTGGAACTCACTTGGTAGCCCAGGGTGGCCTCGAACTCACAGAGATCCACCTGGCGCTCTGCCTCCCAAGTGCTGGGATTAAAGGCGTGCGCCACCACCGCCCGGCCGACATCTCTGTTTTACCTCACCTGCCTAAGGCACCTTTTGATTGGATTAATAAAAAGCTGACTGGTCAATAGCTAGGTAGGAGAGGATTGGCAGGACTTCCCGAGAGATTAAGAACTCAGGGGAAGAATCTGAGAGGCGGGGGATTCGCTCATGAGATGAGGAGGAAGTTGGATATATGGTATGGTAATGAACCATGTGGCAGAATGTAGATTAATATAAATGGGTTAATTGAAGTTTTAAGAGCTTGTTGGGCACAAGCCTAAGCTAAGGCCGAGCTTTCATCATTAATAAAAAGACTCTGTGTCATTCATTATTCAGGAGCTGGCTGTCCAAACAAAGTCCGCTATACAAAGGGGTATAATTTCAGGTTGTAGGAAGTGGCTTCAAGACTGGCCCTCCCTAGATGCCCGTCAACTGAAGAATGGATTAAGAAAATGTGGTACATATACACAATGGAGTACTACTCAGCAGAGAAAAACAATGATGTCATGAAATTTGTAGGCAAATAGATGGAACTAGAAAATATCATCCTGAGTGAGGTAACCTAGACTCAGAAGGACAAACATGGTATGTACTCACTCATAAGTGGATACTAGATATAAAGCAAAGACCAATCAGACTGCAACCCACAGAACCAGGAAGGCTATATAGCAGGGGAGACCCTAGGATGACTGTGGCTTATAATAAGTTTTGGTTTTACTCAATTACAGGGCAAGACTCAATGAAACATTTCACTATTAGGATAAGAATTTATACTGTATCAAGCTGATAATAGAAAATTAAATAAATAAATAAATAATATATATATATATATATATATATATATATATATAATAAGGTGGAATGTAATCACCATACATTATATGTGTATATGAAATTGAAGACAGCGATGTTCTAAAACAGAAAGTGATGATGGTGTCATGGACTCATGAGGATGCTGGACTAAAGTCTATCCAATTGTGCAAACAGGCAAATTGTACACTATGTGAATTATTTGTCAATAAAGATTTTATAAAACGAAAAAAAAAAAAGACTGGCCCTCTTCTGTACCCCAGTACCACTGCCCACTGAGGCTTCTCTGGCCTGGGCATCCAGCATGCCTCACGGACTCCTAGCTTTTAAACTCATCCTCTATTCTCGGAGAGCTGGAAAATTTGCAAGGGTCTCCCTCTTCCATCATTCAGTTTCTTGTTTAACTTTCTAAATTGTGTGTGTGTGTGTGTGTGTGTGTGTGTGTGTGTGTGTGTGTGTGTGTCTGAGTGTTTCACCTGTGTGTAGATCTGTGCACCAAGTGTGTGCCTGGTGCTTGCAGAGGTCAGAAGAGTCACTCGAACTGAAGCTGTGGAGTTGCTTTGTGGGTGCTGGGAACAGAACTCCAGTTCTCTGCAAGAGCAACAAGTGTTCCTAATCACTGAGACATCTCTCCAACCCCTTGATCAACTTTTTTTCCCCCAGATTTTCAAGACAAGGTTTCTTCATGTAAACCTGGCTGTCCTGGTTAGGGTTAAGGTCAGGTTGGCTTTGAACTCAGAAATACCCATCTGTCTCTGCTTACCCCGCCTCCCCCACCTCCAGTACTGCAATTAAAGGCATGCACTACCGCCACCCAGCATCAACTTTTTCTTTCTTTCTTTCTTTTTCTTTCTTTCTTTCTTTCTTTCTTTCTTTCTTTCTTTCTTTCTTTCTTTCTTTCTTTCTTTAAGGTATTACTACTATGTTCTGGCACTCTCTACATCTGCATACAGCAATCCTGTTCTCCACCTGTGAGAGGACAACCAGACGGAGCAGTGACCTTTCTGAAGAGTCCAGGGAAGTCTAGGGTTGCTTCTGGAATAGGGAAGGCGTGAGGTTTCCTTGGTGGAGCAAATTTAGCTCTTCCGGCCTCCCCGGTACCTTTTGCGAAGCTTGCCTTCTCACTCTCTTTGGGTCTTCTACTTTGTCCCCATTATTCACAGGGCCTGAGCAGCCAGTGGACAATGAATGCCTGGAGGGATGGCGGCCACCTTTCCTCCTCTCCGAATCCCATCCTGTGGCCATTAAGAGCTCTTTCAGATTAGTGTGAGGAGGCCCACATCTGCCATCTCAGCACTTGGGAGGCTGAGGCAGGAGAGTAGCAGGGGTTTGAAGCCAGCCTGGGCTACACAGAAAGACACTGTCTCAAAACAAACAGTGGGGGGGGGGGCTGGTGAGATGACTCTGAGGGGAACAGGCACTTGCTGCCAAGACTGAGGTCAATCCAAGGTCAATCAGAGGACCCCTAGTGGTTCTCCGACCTTCACATGTGCGCTGTGTACATGCGCACCCCAGACATTCACAGACACACAAAATAAAAATGAACAAGTGACATCACAAATGTAAAGTAGGTGGATGAAAGAGAAAATAACAACTCTGCCTGGGCTAGAGTAGAAAAGTTTTGCCCAAAGGGGCCTAAGGCAAGACTTGACCTAACAGAATGTGGTAAGTAGTGGATAATTTGCTTCCTTGGACTTCATTTTCCTGAAATAATAACGTTGTATGACTACAGAGAACAAGATTGTGTGGCTAAATCTTATCTTTTTTTTTTTTTTGTTTTGTTTTTCGAGACAGGGTTTCTCTGTGTAGCTTTGCGCCTGTCCTGGAACTCACTTGGTAGCCCAGGCTGGCCTCGAACTCACAGAGATCCGCCTGGCTCTGCCTCCCGAGTGCTGGGATTAAAGGCGTGCGCCACCACCGCCCGGCTAAATCTTATCTTATTGAACAGGTTCAAAATAAGTAAAGAACCTCTTTATTTATTTATTTAATGTACATGAATGTTTTGCCTGCATGTATGTACATGCAACATGTGTGTGCCTAATGCCTGTAGAGATTAGAAGGTGGGTCAGAATCCCTGGAACTGGAGTTAGGGATGGTTGTGAGGCACCATGTGGGTGAAGGGTCCTCTGCAAGAGTAGCATTTCTTAACCACTGAGCCTTTCTCCAGCCAAGAAATAGTAACTTAGCAACTTATGTGCGTGAGTTTGGAATATACGTGTACGGTCATGCAGCCTGAATGAGGCATCCGCTTCCCGGGGAACTGGAGTTACAAATGGTTGCGAACCGCCAAGGGGGATTCAAACCTGGGTCCTCTGCAAGAAAACCGTTGAGCTATCTCTCCAGCTCCAAGAAATAGAAATTTTAACAACAACAAAATGTTCTTAAGCCATAGTATTCCTCCCTTGGAGGCACTTTAGGGAATTCTTTTCTCATTTTTCCACAATCTGCATTCTCTCTGTTTAAAGCAAAGCAGAACAAATGACAATAACCACATCACTCTCAGCTACAGGCAGGGAGCAGGCGTCTTGGACTGCAACAGCTCATTCTCAGCTGCAGGCAGGGAGCAGCGTCCTGAACTGAAGGACAACAGCGGCTCACAGCTGCAGGCAGGGAGCAGCACCCTGGACTGCAGAAGGACAACAGACTCTACATGAGAGTCCCAGGTGAGAAGCCCCCTCCCTCTCAGGTGTCAAATCCCCACCTTGGAGAACGGTAGTTCCCAACCTCCCCTCAGGAGAAGACACAGTGGCTTCTAACCTGTCACCATTGTCACCTCTGCACGGCTGTGCTGTCCCTGCCCACCACTGGTCTCCACACACAGGCCGCATCAGGCCTCTCCTTGCCTTCTCTCTAGTCAACATCTATCCCTGCCCACCACTGGTCTCCACACACAGGCCGTATCAGGCCTCTCCTTGCCTTCTCTCTAGTCAACATCACTAATTTCCTGCTGTTCCCAGCTGGTGGAATCTCTGACACTTAGAGGCAGGGTGGAAACTTCCTTGTCCCCAGAACCAAGAAGCTTCCCTTTCCACCTGTTTTAAGACATCCTGGCCTCTGCCCTCCAGGCCAGCTGAGAACCCTATTACAATGGCCCTGGTCCAGACTGACCTTGCTCGTCCTCTCCTCTGGGCCAACTCACTAAAGCCCATTTGCTGTCCCTTAGCACCAGTTCCTGATCTCTCCTCCCTTGAGACCTCACCTCAGTTCCATGGAGACTGCTCCGCCTGACTTGGTCACTGGCCCCCTCACACTGGCTGGCTCTGCTATGCCCAGTTCTGGGTGGCAGTGTCCCAAGAACACCCAGTTTAATGGAGAAGTGAGCCCTAGAGAGTCCTTCCAGACCTCCTCACCTTCGTTCACACTGTACTGACTGTCTCAAAACCCTTTCCAGAACGATCCTGTCGAGACTCATCCCACTCATTTCTCCAGGCTCTTTCTCAATGTCCCTTATCACTGAAACTTTCTCAGTCCACCAGTCCCTCACGCCATTTCTCCAGCCGTATGGTGATTTGTCTTTCAGCCCCCACTCCAACACATTTCTAGGAAGGCTGGATCCACATGATAATTTTCTCTGTACCTACAGCCCAGCAAGAGGCCCAACCTGCAAGCAGTTGTTGGAAGAAAGAAAGGATGAATGAATGAATGAATGAACGAACGAATGAATGAATGAGTCAATGATGCATCAGAGGCTGTGGGAACCCAGAGGAGCTGAGCCCACACATCATGGTGCTCAGCCCACCCAAGTCCTTCTCCTGCAGAGGGATCCTTAGGCTACCTCTTTTGTTCAACACTGACAGGACGCAGAAGACCCCGCCCTGCCCTTCTATGCTGTAGCCAGGGAAACAGTCTGGGGTTGGTCAGCGGCCAAGGCAACCCCATACTTTCCCTGGCCCCCTCTGGCTCAGTCTGAACAGTGCCACATTCTGCAGTCCCCTCTGTTCAGTAGGTATCTGATTAGGTTTAAGAAGCTCCCACAAGGATGCGTTCAGTCCCTGGTAAATACCTACACAGACGTTAAGTTATTTGTTTTGCTTTTACTAGAAGGGATTAGAAAAACTAGGCTTGACACTAAGGGCTGTCTGGCTGCAGAGCCTGAATTCAACAGAGCCTGGGATAGAGGAGCAGAGCAGGGTCCCTGCCTCGGACCCCACTGATGTAAGCAGAATTCAATGCACACACATACAAAATGCCCAGCCTCCCAGCCAGTGACCCACCTCACACACCCGGACCTGATGAGCTCCTGCTCTTGGTGGGGCGAGGATGCTCAGTGTCTGCTCCGGTTCTTCACTCATAAACGCTCAGGCCTGGACCAGCTGCTGGGACTGAGGCAGGAAACAGGAAGAACAGGTTCCCAGGCCTGGGGCCGCGCCCAGCCTTCAGCATTTTTCAGGGCAAGCAGCTGCCTGGAGGGCTCCTGCAGACACCCAGAGATGAAGACACAAATGCGGGCTCAGAATCTGCCAGCCAGGCCATGCTTGCTCGCTCTCTTCCGCAAATTGCCTCCTCGGCTTTAACTGTGGACTGTGGCCCCAAAGAAGCCAAGAGGAGACCCGGTGTGCTTGTCCTGGTCACAGTGCCCTCTGCACGCCCACACACCCTGCTATCTCCTGCTAGCTCATCTGTTCCAGGAATGGGCTGTTCATAGCCTCCTCTCAGGCGCCCCCTTTCACAGGAAGGAGACTTTGGGAAAGATCTCCCCTAGTAGCTTCAGAGCGGAACCAAGTCTCCAGTGTCTCTTCCCTTGGCCCCAATTCTGCACTCCAGCCCCACAGCAGGAAACAGTCAATACCCTCTTGGCCGGGTACATAGTGCACAGCAGCGCCAGCATACCTCTGCCAGGACAGGTGTCTAACTAGAGCCCCTCCTCTCACCCCACATCTAGACATCCCTCCACAGCTGTTATAAACACACACACACACACACACCCCACACTTGAACACACACAGGTCCAAATGCACACAGACACCCAAAGCGCACACTTTCACATTCATGTGCACATGCAGGGGACATATTGACATGGTCTAGATGGGGCCTGCTACAGCCTCTGGAAGCTACCTCAGCTGAATTCCCATTTGACAGAGAAGGAAACTCAAGGACAGAGCTGAGCTGGAAGCCCCTCATGTACAGCAGACGCAGGGAATTTGCTAGACAGAGGATAGCTGCCTCGGGGAAGGGCCCCTCTGTATGGACAGGTCCCAGCATCCACCAGGAGCCTCCAGCACCCACGAGGAGCCTCCTGAAAATTTTTTTTTTCTTTTGAGAAAGAGTGTTATACATCTCAGGCTGAGCTCAAACTCACTGTACAGCTGAGGATAAACTTGGCTTTCTGATTCTTCTGCCCTTACCTCCTAAGTGCTGGGATTATAGATGTGTACCACCATACCTTGTTTATGTGGTGCTGGGACTAGATAACCCAGGGCTTCTAGCATGCTGGGCAAGTACTCTACCAACTGAGCCACACACCCCCCCTTTTTCTTTGATCCTGGGGTTTGAACCCAGGAACTGAAGTCTGCTAGGCTAGTGCTCCACCACTGAGCTATGTTTCCAGCCCCCGAATATCTTTTCCCATCTGCTTACCTTCACAGCCGTCGGGGAGTGGAACCCCCAGGCTGGAGGTGCAGTGTAAAGATGGGGAGCAGGAGGAGACGGGTGGCTGCAGGATGCAGGACCAAGAGAGGGTACGCCGGGCCCTGGCATCTTAGGCTGGCACCGGCCAGAGTGTGGGTTGCTATCTGGCTGTCTGCTCAAGAGTCTGGTGGCCAGATGCAAGAGCTACCCTTTTCACCCTGCCCCGTCCAGGTGCATTCCCCGAGGTCTGTCCTCAGGAGGTGCCTGACCAACCAGCTAAGGTAGAGCACAACACTTTCTCTGAGGGCCTCTACCATCCCCTTAGGTTCCCGTCTCCCAGTACTCCACCCCATCTGATGCCCACCACTCACCTAGTCCTACCAGTCCAACCAGTGGAGTTCCTTAGACGTGCTTGGACATTCTTTGCGCCAAAGTAGAGACATAGGACTCAGCTTTCCCTCTGACCCCCTCAGCATCCTCTTTGCTTCCGTCCTCGCCTCCCTCTGCCCTGTCCAGCCTCAACTCTCCAGTCACACGGCCTTCTAAATGCCTGCCTTTGAACACATGCCCGTGAGTTCAAACCCTTCCATGGCTCCCCGGCACTGTCAGGTAACATCCAAGGTCCTCAGCCTTGCCCTCAAGGTCCTAGCTGAACTGGTCCCTGTCATCTTCACCTTCTCCCTCATCCTCCTGTCTCAGTACGACTGAAGCAGTCGCATGGTTCCATCTCCCTCAGTGACAACTTCCCTTATCATCTGCCATCAGCCTGCTGGTGAGAAGTGAGCATTTTCTGTACCCATTTTTTTTTTTATTTTTATGTTAGGTGGCTTCATAAGCCTCTTCATTTTTAATCTGGAGGTTCCAACAGGCTAAAATAACCTCCTCAGGGCCACAAAACTAGCACATAGCACGGAGCTCTGCTGTGCCCCTGACCACTACCTCCTACCCTACCTTGCAATGTCTAGATCCCATCCCCAGAGAGGTTCCTGGCCATTCATCTTTGATGCCCCCCACCTCCACCCCTACCCCCAAAGCTCTGCCTTTTTGTTAAACCTCCAGCAGAGGAGGTCTGCTGACTCCAGCCTGGTTCCTTCTCACTAGTCCCAGGCTAGTAAGTCTAAAGCCAAGAAGAGGAAGCAGAGCTGTTTCTAAGCTGGCAGCGGACTTTCTTGGGTGGTTGGACGACATTCCAGCTCCTCTGCTAGGGTGGCTCTGGAATGTGCCACCTGCTAGGCTGGTGGACCCTGTCCAGCTGTCCAGCTTGGCAGGAAAGAGTGTCTTATCACACCCCAGAGACCCCTGCTACCTACCTGCCTCTGCAGGAAGAGATTTTGAGAGGGGAACTGAGGACCTGGGCTTAGAACAGCATCAAGACGGAGGAGAGAGCACAGGGTGGGCGGGGAATCTGTTCTGTCCTTCCCAGCTGTTGGATGGACGGAGCTGTCAATCTCACAGCCCGCATATCAATCTCCTCTTAACAGAACAGAACTTATTTGTGAGCAAAATCTTCACACACACGTTACAGAATAATAAGAGAGGAGGCTGCCATGTAGGGTAGAGACAGGAGGGATGGGGTACCCCCAAAAGATGAGAGGGGCAAATAGTCCTGCAGGAGTTATGGGTGAGGCTACAGTGGCAGGGTACAGTCAGTCTAACAACACAAGATCAGCACCTTCAGGAGGAGGGAGGTCCAGAGCCCTCCCAGATTTGTCCCGGGTGACTCTGAGATTACATTCTCCCCTAATCTCAAAACATTCACTGTCAAGGTCAGGGAGGCACACCCAGAAGCAGACAATGACAACTCAGGGTGATCAGGGCTGAAGGAAGCCGAGGAGGCCCTGCTGGGAAAGGCGGCAGTGGCGGTGGGAGGCCCCCGCTGGGGAAGGTTTCCTGGAGAAGAGGGCACCTGACTTGTGGTTAGAAAGATGAGTAGGCATCATCAGGTGGGTGGGAAGAAGAGAGAGCACAGATCTGGGCAAGATGACCTGAGCTGCTGAGCACCCCGTGATTTGAGCGGACAGGGCAATCCAGGCAGCGTAGGATTAGGAGTCTACAAGTCCCTGCCTGTCTCCTCCCAGATGTCCTCCAAGGGGTTAGAGGTCAGCAGTTCTCTCAGCTGTGCCTGGTGTGTTACACCAAGAGCATTGAGCACCAGGCCTAGCCTGGGGACCCAGCTCAGGGGTGACATCTGATGGTATCAGATGGTGCTTTCGGGGTGTGAGACCTCCATTCTGGCAGGCCCTTGTGCTCTGCGGCACTTTCCCTAAAGCTCCCAAGATCTCAGCTGTGGGGGCACTCACTGAGGCAGAGAGGGCACTGAGGGCTCCACAGGACACAAACCTGGGACTCTAAGGAGAAAGGGCCTACCTACCCAGGGCAGGACTCCAAATTACTGATTCTACCTGGCCCAGCTCAGCTGAGTGCAGTACAGGGCTCCAGAGATGGGCTAATGGGCTCAGAACCACAAGGTTCGGGACTCCACCCCTGCCAAGCACACCCCAGTGTCTCCAGCGAGACCCAAGAAGTAAGAACGCTGGGTTCAGGCTCCAGCTTGGAGCCTGGGATGCTGTGCATCTGGGTTTAATCAGGCCCAGTCCCTGATGATGAGCTCTCCACCGGTCAAACCGGAAGAGTCACAGATCCATGGGGCAGCTCATGAAGAACGAATAAGACCAGGGAGCCATGCGGGTGGGGGCTCACAGGGAGCAAGATGCTCACAGTCCTGACTTGCAGGCTCTAGCTTCCCGTCACGGCAGGAAAAGACTGAATTCTAGGATCCTACAACACTTCTTCTCATCACCGGTCCTGCTCTGGGTCCCCAGCAGAGAGACAGAGGTCATGGTCCAAGCCGTGATCATTTGGGGAGGGGCAGGAAGTATAAGAGATGGGAGAATCCAGGTTCTCATCTCAGGATGCACAGGAGGCTGTGAGACAGACCAGCTCCTCTGAGCACTTCTGGAATATTCCCAGGTCAGTGCCTCTCCGAGTCTAATCCCAGGAGTGCCGGAATCCCATGCTGTTCCTTTAGTTCACCTGTCAAAGCAGGTGCTGTGTCCGAAGTTCTGTTTCTTGTGGCTCCAAAAAGCCTTGGCTAAGATTCTCAGAACCCCGGGAGTTTGTGCTTAGAGTACCACAATCGTAACTCACAGTCCTCCGAGCGCCAAAGCTCCAGCAAGCACCTGTCAATGTCTCCAAATGCGTGGTTCAGAGGATGAACTCTGCCAGACCCTCTGAGGAGTGTCCAGTCAAGCTTTGGGAAAAGACCCAGGCATGGATAGGTCACCTTGGGAGATCTAACCATATCCAAAGGGACCCCAGGGACAGGGAACTCAGGGGTCACAGAGACAAGGACAACTTGACCTTGGGGAGGTGGTCAGTGGAAGCTTCCCCAAGGAGCTACCCTTAATAGATAACCTGGGGTTGTCAAGCAGATGGAGATAGGGAGGGAGGATACCCAAGCTAAGACTCAGTGGGTGAGGGTACAGGCTCTTGAGAAAGTGCCAGGAGATCATGTGTGGCTGGCTTGGAGGGTTAGGCGGCATGGAATGTGTGGGGGCCAAGGAATTCATATGAAAGGGCTCAAATGCCAAGCTGAGAGCTTGTTCTCCCACTTAAAAAGGGAAGGCATTTTCAGAGCTGACCCTTACAAAGATGGTACCACATGGGAAGCAGTTAGCAGGGAGTTTGGAGGGTGGGCGACGGCGGAGGAGACTGCACATATAACGGTACAGACAGAAGAGCTAGTGTCTTGCTCTGGGACTCCCTGTGAGCCTCCTTCCTGACCCAAGTCCAGGCCTGGGCAAGTCTAACAAAATGAACTGGAGGCTAGGCGCACTCTCCAGGAGGCTGTATCCGTACAAGCTGGAGGGAGGCCCAGTGCCTAGGTCTCTCTTCTGCAGTGACAGTGACAGGACCTCAAACGGATCGTGTTGGGTCCAGCAAAGTCTAGGATGCCTCTCTCTGCATCAGGGAATCCTGCTACTCATTCTATAGCAAGACTCAAGTAGGCCTCAGGGTCTGGGTGGCCGGGCGATGGAGGAGCTCTCTCTCTCTCTCTCTCTCTCTCTCTCTCTCTCTCTCTCTCTCTCTCTCTCCCCCCCCCCACTGAAGGGCTGGGATGTAGCTCAGTTGGTAGAATGCTTACCTAGAATGCAAGAAGCCCTTGGTTTGATTGCCAGCACCAAAACAGGTCCACGCCTACAAGCCTAGCATTCATCAAGAGGTGGAGGCAGGAGGATTAGAATGACACTATAATGAGATTCTATAGGCTGAGTTCAAGGCCAGTCTAGGCTGCATACACACACCCTGTCTTAAGGTATGGGTGTGTGTTGCGTGGGGTGGGGGTGGGGGGATGGACCCACTATGGTGGCTCTTCACGAAACAAGGCCTTTCTCTTCTGAATATCCACTGCACCTGGTCGTTCATTTCCAAAATACTTCCTGGCACTTGCCACGTGCCCCGTCTGTGCCAGGTGATGGGGCAGAATGAGAAGGCAGCCATGGCCCAGCTTCATAACACAACTAACTGGCTTCTCTAGAGATTAAGGAGAGTCCTGCAGCCAGGTTCTCCCCATTAGGCCCCACTGGTGGGGCCAAGGGCATCTCAGCAGGAAAGTATGGGTTAAAGGGTGCACAGACAGGCCCAGGGACGGCAGACAGGGGAGAGAAGAGATGCCATCAGAGGACACTTCTTACTCAGAGGGTCAGCAAGGTCTTCCTGGTCTTATAAGCAGACCTGGGGATAATGGTAGTTAACCCAGAAGGGTAATTAGGCCACAAGAAAGCCCCAAAGAAAGGCTCCTGGGGGCAGTCAGGCATGGTGGTATACGCCTTTAATCCCAGAGCTTCAGAGTTAGATTACTGGCAGATTTCTGTGAGTTCGAGGTCAGCCTGGTCCACCTAGTGAGTTCCAGGCCAGCCAGGGCTACACAGTGAGAACCTGGTATTCAAATTCCCTTCAGCCTAAAAACAAGTGTCATAGCCTCATCCTGAAGCTTTGGTCCTGGATGGGAAGGGCCTCAGCTGCGGCAGGTAGGCAGGAGTCCCAAGTTTTATCTGGCTTGGTGACCTTGGACAAGACATTCTCTGTTTTCTCATCTACAAAATAAAGGTAACAGTTCCTTTCTCATGGAGCCTTTAGGAGGAGAAAATGAGGAATTTTTGTAAACTGTAACAAGTAACAATTCAATGACATTCCAATAAGGAGCATAAGCACTTGTAAATAAAATGAAAGAAAGATTTCAGTGATGAAACTAAAGATCTCATGGTGTCACCCATGAGGCCTTGGTGATGTTCTCGCGATTTCAACTGGTTCATGGGGAGTGTGGGCAAGAGGGGTACTGGAAACGCTACAATCTCACTCTGCATGCTAGGCAGCCATTTCTCAGGATTGCTCAGAATGCCAACCTTCCCATCTCCTCAAAACCCAGGAGAATCTGAAGCATGGAGAAGAGTGGCAGGCCTCTATGGCAGGGCTTGCCTCCATCCCTCGTGCTGGACCGGACTGGCACTGGCTGCCCGTTCAGACTCTCCTTCCTCCCGCTCCCACCCGCAGATAACTGACACTTCCCTGAGGCCCCACCTGATCTTCAAAAGCTGTTATTCCAAACTTGATCCAAATCCAAAACAAGGCTGCCCACCCACGGACTCTGGGGATGCCTTTCTGAGAACAGAAGTCACCTAGCCCTGTAAATCCCCAAACTGGAAAAGCTAGTTTGCAGTTCCCAGCAGGATCTATCTACACTTGGGTCTAGCTCCTGGAGATCAGACACACACACACACACACACACACACACACACACACACACACACACACACACACACACACACACACGAGGTGGGCACTGTCTTTCTTCTATCTGACCCTTCCTACAGCACCACCTGCCAGATTAAAGTCTTAACTGTCCTTACATGAAACTGCACCACCACCACCCCTCCAACGCCGCCGCCACTGCCTCCCTATCTCACCTACCCGCCCCCCCCCCTCCAAGCAGGCCACCCAGAGTGACTGGGGGTGGGAGAAACGCAAGTACAAGAACTCTCAGGATTCCCGGGGCTCTGTCCACAGACTTATCCTCAGGGGTATACACACTGACAAATTCAAGTTCAGCCACTCACACCCCAGGGGTGTGCGCATTCGCCCACGAACACACAGATTTCCCCAGTACGCTGGTAAACACACCAGGGTGTCACTCACCAAGATCCACGCTCCAGAGGAGACAAAGTTCAGCAGCACCGGCAGCCGGCTCCCACCGTCCAGTTTTGCTCAGTACTAGGGCTGGGAGCCGGGGCCGGCAGGACAGAGTCACGTAATGGGCTCTCCTGCCCGGCCCTGAGTCGACTGGAGCGCCAGTCCCCAGGCCGCACCCGGTGGCGACCTCTCCCGGCGTCCGTTCCCCTCTAGGCTGCCCCCCTCACCTCCGCGATGCGCTGGTCCCCTCCAGGAGCCACAGCCGCGGTTCCTGGTCCCCGAGTCCCATGCCCAGTCGCGCAGGGTCCCACGTGCCTGGAAGAGCCGCGGTCCCCGCCCCACCCAGCCTGGCTCCGTACCCCATGGCAGGGCGGCAAGCAGGAGGGCGGCAAGCAGGAGGGCGGGGCGGACTCCGGGCAGACGCTGGAGCCGTCCGTCCGGGACAGATGCCTCCAGTCTGTCACCCGCTTGGGGACGCGGCCTGGCTGTACCGCCCCGCAGGGTCAGCGTGTCCGCCACGGGTGTTGAGCAGGGAGGGGAGGGAGGTGACCGTCCTGGCTGGGCAGAGGCCACCTGCCTCGCTCACCGGATCAGAGGGGAGGTTTTCAGAGACGCCCAAGTTTTACAAGGTTTGCTTGGTGCTGGCGTGGCTCCTGTCGCGGCCCACCGATGGATCTTTATGCTAACCCGTAGCCTCCCCTCCTCAGCCTCCCTCCGCTGCCGCCCTAGCCCATCTCACTTCCGGATGGACCTGCTCCAGACTGCCGGTACCGGGAAGGATCTTTACCCCTTTCAGCACCTCCATCTGCTTTCACTCTCACTTCACCTCGCTAACAGGTCCCCGAAGTTCCTGTTCAGTTTGGTCTCTCATCTTGTATTGCCTCAATTCTTCGCTCTGCCCTGCCCTGAAGACCGTCTGTAGTCATGAACCCTGTTTATGCCCCAGTCCTAATGTGAGCACAATAGGGCAAGGACCACATCAGCCATCTCTCAACTGCCGTCCTGCGAATGGATGGATGCACGAGGGTCTGCACCCTCCCATTTCTGGTCCAGGAATCTGGAGTGTAAGCTCTAGGCCAGCTTTAGTACCGACAGTCCCACTCAAGGACTCATTTTCTGTGAAATGGAGCCGGCAATTCTCCTGATCCTACTTTCACTGTCCGTCCTCGGAGTCTGGCCACGTTTAGAACAGGCGTTTTTCCTATGGCCGGGGAGCTTGCTCTCGGCCTAGGGCTGTAGGTCTTGCTAGCTGTGTATCAGCTGACCAGAGCCTTGCTCCCAGCCCCAGGAGGGGCCCAGAAGGGGTGTTGGCTGCAGTCTTGTCCGGAGTGACCAGAGTGACAGCCTTGTCGGGGTGGACACACAGAGCTGTGTGGCTGAGCCTCTCTGCAGCTTCCTGGGGCCTTCACTTAGGAGACACGAAGGCAGCTTGTCTAACCTCCTCTGCTGACTGCGAGAGCTGGGACAGGCAGCTCCCAGAGAGCAGGGTATCTCTACAGCCACACTTGCGGCTTTAGGATCCTAGTGCCCGAGGAAGTACTTTTGGTTGTGGAAGCCCCAGCTGATTTGTTTTCCTGGTCTCCCTTTTGAGCCGCCAGGCCTTCAGGTGTTCCTGCCGCTTCCCCTGGGACCCAGGGTTGATCCCAGCCTCTGGAAGACCCACAGCGTGGTCGGTGGCCAGTCTTGGACTTTGCACTTGCTGTCACCCAATTCCTGATTTTACAGCCAGAGAAACGACATCCCTGAGGTACATGACATCTGAGCTTTCATGTCAGGTGACCTAGTAACGCCTGAGGAACAGGTGGAAGGTTCAGAGGACCTCACAGCCTTGTATTCAGACTCAAGTCTTCCTTCACCTTTTCTGTGACCACTTCTGAGCCCCAGTCTCTCCCTTTCTCTGTGGTTTCTTTAATTTTTTTGTTGTTTTGTTCTGTTTTGTTTTTGTTTAGCTAGGCTCTCCCTGTGTAGGCCAGGCTGGCCTCACACTCACAGGAGTCCTCCTGTCTCAGCCTCTTGAGTGCTGGTACTGTAGGCATGTGCTAACAAGCCTGGCTCTCGGTCTGCTTTTCTGCACAACGTGTCAAATAGTCCTTACTCGCTGTTCGGACTCAGTGTCTTTCTTTAGGGTCTTGCCCATCATCCTGCGCTTCACCAGTCAGAGGAGTATCCCCGCTCAGAAAAGCCTGGGAGGCGAGGTTCCCTGACACTTCCCTAAGTCAGATTGTGTGGATCCCTGAATCCAGCAGACTTCCCATCCCCCAGCACTGCCCCCCTTACCATCTTACTCCATCCTGAGCGCCTTTGCTTTCATATTTTTACTTACACACAACTCGAGACTTTACGACGGAAAGAATTTAGAACCTCTATTGATCCAGTCAGGAAATTGAAGTCCAGTGAGTCACAGTAAGTACCATATGATGGGTCGAATGGCATTGAGGGCGTCTCCCTCAACCTCGCAGCCAAAGCAGACTAATGGTAAAGCTCAGGCACTGTAATGGTCCCCATGAGGTGTAATGAAGCCACGGGGGCAACTGCATTAGCAGCAGCAGTTCAGGAGGGGATGGGCAAAGCCCCCGCCCGGCTCCCCTAGCCCACCTCGCATTAGAAGGCTTCCTGTCTCTCCAGCCCTGAGCAAGCACTTGCCTCCTGGCAGGCATCCTCCTCTTCCCTCTCTGACTTCTCTCCTCTCCCCTGAGAAAACCTTCTGCTCTGAGAATCCACAATAGGGGGTGTTGGGGAGGGGAAGTCCCTGCCTGGCCTAGCCTCCAACCCTCCAACGCTGTCTTTGCTAGAATGGTGCCTCTGCCTCCCCTCACTGACATGTCCTGCTTCACACTCTCTTGGGGGCTTCCACTGCCTTAAGGCACCATTTTCCCCAGCCTCCGCTCCCGGTCTTTCCCTCTCTGCCTCCCCTCTTACCTCCTCTTAGTCATGCTGTCTAAAGTCCTTACCCTCATTCACCTCCTGGGGTGCTGGCCACGCCCTCTGCCCCTTGTGTTTCTCTGTGTTTGGCCTCCTTCCTCTTGACCCCCAAGCACTGATCTTCTAAGACCTCCTCCAGATGCCCAACCTCTCAGCACACTGTCACTAACCTCCGCCCCCCACCAAGGGGATCTATTTGTAGGTGGGGCCCAGTCCATCCTACACACAGCTGGATGTCCCTGTCACATGATCTGTCTCCAGGACTCTTCTCTGTGCTGGTTCCTGTGTTAAGGTATCTTGATCCTCACCAGGACCCTGTAAGTGTGGTGTTACCATTCCCGGGGCATATTTAGGGAAACTGAGGCTCATACAGTAAGTATGTTGTGGGCCTAACCCTGGAACTGTACGTGCTGGGGGAAGACCTGAAGAGTGTTCTTGGATCATGGCTGGGCCCTGGTGTTGGGGCCCACCCTGGCAGCTCCCCTAGGTAGAGCTGGGCTATCCATCCGGCTTGTCTTCCTGGCTCCCATGGCTCCCGAGAGCCTAAATGATCCTTTCTCCCACCCCTTATTCTTTCTCTCCCTCCCTCCTCCTTCGGAACTGGAACTGGGCTCCTCAAGTTTCCCTGACCAGGGCCAGGGCTTGAAAGGCAAATGAATCCTGGAAGCTCTGGCTGTTGGCAGCCCTGAGAAGCAGGAAGCCTTGGCCAAGGCCCCTTTCATCTCCCCTAAAGCAAGACCAGCTACCTAATTTGTAAGACCCTGTACAAAATGAAAACGTGGATCCTGTGTTTAAAAAATTATTAAGAATTTTAAGATGGTGACTGAAGTATTAAGGACTGGACCAGACGTGATGGCACCTATCTTTAATCGGCAGGTGGAGGCAGGTGGATCTCTGTGAGTTGGAGGCCAGCCTGGTTTACATAGTGAGTTCCAGAGCAGCCAGAGCTACATAATAGAGAGACTCTTTCAAAATAAACAGGCACTAATGGCCGGGCGGTGGTATTGCACGCCTTTAATCCCAGCACTCGGGAGGCAGAGGCAGGCGGATCTCTGTGAGTTCGAGGCCAGCCTGGGCTACCAAGTGAGTTCCAGGAAAGGCGCAAAGCTACACAGAGAAACCCTGTCTCGAAAAAAAAACCAAAATAAACAAACAAACAAACAAACAGGCACTGATGGTACAGCTCTTATACCTAGGAAGTCATTCCTGCCCTCAGGCCTTTCTTTCCTCATCTGTTAAATGGCCTAATGGCAGCCTTCTAGCCAGGCAAGGTGAGGGAGAGGAGGAGACAGGACCAGCATGAGGGTTGAATAGGGGTCTTCAGCCTCTTGGTTCTTTTTAGTTTTAGGTGTGTGTGTGTGTGTGTGTGTGTGTGTGTGTGTGTGTGTGTGTGTGTGACACACACATTCCTGCACTAAAGTGCAATGTCTTCAGAGGCCAGAAGAAGGTATCAGGTGCCCTAGAGCTGTCGTTACAGGTGGTTATGAAACAGCTGATGTAGATCCTGGGAACCAAACTCAGGTCTTCTGGAAAAGCAGCAAGCTTTCATAACCACTGAGCCATCTCTCCAGCCCTATAAATTTTATTCTCCTTTTCAAGCACTCAACCTGGGTCAGAGAAGTAAGTCACTTTATCAGTGTCATACAGAGATGCAGTGTGGAAATCCAAGATCAGAGAGGCTGAGAGGAGGCTGTGGGATTGATAGAGAGGCACGCAGAGATGGAAGAGACAAAGACAGCCATTGTGCAGACACAAAGACCTGACTATAGAAGCCTCATGGGGGTTGGGCTGAAATCACGGATGGAGCATAGTGGAGCTATACATGGTAATCAGGGAGCTGCTGGGAGCTACCTCCTAATCCCTCCCTGGTTGGGATGGGGGTGATGGGTGGCATGCAGGAGCCAAAAAATGGTCAGTAAGGAGAATCAGCTCTGGGGCTGGGCCCCTAACACCCTGTGCAGGCCCCCAGATCCACAGTCTTCCACTAGGGCAGACTGCCCCAGCTCCTCTTTGGCAGTGTGTCCCGTGCTACTCACTGCGGGGTCTCCTACCTCATTAAGGGCAGTGCCCATCTCATAATCTGGCTTTTGTACTCCCCATCACCCCAAAGCATACGAAACGTAGTCCCTTCGTGTTCCCTTCAAAGCCTTCTGTGGTTTTTCCTTGACACCCTTCCACAGTTGCCAGCCCCACTCCTCAACAGTTTTCCACACCACTGTCACGTGGGACCTCCCGCCATGGTCCGCACCTCAGTCCTTTTACACACACAGCCTTGTGCCTGTGTGTGCTTCTCCTGTCCTGAGGTGTTCTACTCCAGCTGTACTGTGGGCTGAAATCCTCCAGCACTCAGCAAGTCTCCATCTCCACTGCTGGGCTTAACCTGTCCATTACCACACCAGTCCACTCTCCACAAACGTCGGATTTACCCACTGTCTGCAAGTGCTCGCCCGGCGCTGACTTGTGCGGTTAGCTGTTTACACCCACAAAGCCCCACCGGGAGGCGGGCCACATTTGGGCTGAGTCTTACAGGGTGGTGACTGCACCGGTCTGGCTGTGGAAAGCAAGCAGGGAGAGCACAGGGGAGCTCTGACACCTGCTCCGGGCTCCCGCAGACACTTCCGGTTTGGTTTCTGAGGTCCAATGACAAAGGATGCAGAGGAGCAGAGGCCATTGTCCAGCTGGAAGATTCATAGACTCCCAGGGCATCTGGGTGTGGTGGTACACACCTGTGATCCCATTCCTCGGGAAGTAAGAAAATGCACATTTGAGGCTAGTCTGACGACAGACAAAGGAAATGAAGGAAACTGGTTGGAGAGACGGCTCAGTGGCTGGCTGCTCTTCTGGAGGACCCCTTTGGTTGCCAGCACCCACAACCACCCGAAACTCCAGGTCCAGTGGTGCCAAATCTCTTCTTCTGGTCTCCAAGAACATCATGCATGCACATGGTGCATGGACATGCAGGCAGCCAAGAGGCTCATACACACAAAATAAGAAAAATAAATTATAAACAGCAAACAAACCTTCCCTGGATTTGTTTGCCAGGACTATTGACTTACCAAGAAACGACTTGGACCTCTGTGATTTCTTCCGAATTACTTTGAAGTAGCTTCTGTCAGTTCATTTTAGTTTTCTTTTTTTTTTCGAGACAGGGTTTCTCCGTGTAGTTTTGGTTCCTGTCCTGGATCTTGCTCTATAGACCAGGCTGGCCTTGAACTCACAGAGATTCTCCTGGCTGTGCCTCTGAGTGCTGGGATTAAAGGCATGTGCCACCACTGCCTGGCTCTTCCTGTTCATTTTCTATGTTTGTTGAAGTGAATGCTTATTACTTATATTTATCTACTTATGTATTTATTTATAGAGACAGGAGTCATTCTATAATCCTAATCAACATAGAATTTATTATGTAGACCAGGCAGGCCTCAAACTTGAAGCCATCCTGCCTCTGTCTCCTGAATGCTAAGATTAGATGTGTGAGTCAACATGTCTGTCTTCTATTTTATTATTATTCTTTTCAAACAATGTTAAGTGTTTTCCCCTCTAAATTCAGCTTTGTTCTTTCTGTCTCTCTTTCACACACACACACACACACACACACACACACACATGCATGCACACACCTTTTTTGAGTGTGTGTGTTCACATTTGCATGTGAGGGCACATGTGTTAGCATGCATGTGGAGGCCCAAGGTTGATGTGAGAAGTCATTTTCCACAGCTCTCCTACCTTGTTCTTGAAGTTGTGTCTCTCAGTCAAACCCAGAGCTTGTTTACTGGTTAGTCTCAATAACCACCTTGCTCTGGGAATCCTGTCTCCACCTTCCAAGACTGGGATTATGGGTGGGCTCCTATGCCCACCTGGCATTTCTGTGGGCTCTGGGGTATACTGATCCTCATACTTTGATGGTAAGCCCTTTAACCACTAAGCAATCTCATCTTGCATTTTAATTTACTCTTTAACTCAAATAAATGTGGTGGCATATACCTAGGAGTCCAGACCTTGATGGTCTAAGGCAGGAGAATGGAATGGTTCAGGCCAGCTTGGGCTGCAAAATGACAGTCTATCTCAAAATTTAAACAAACAAACCCAACTCTAAACCAGGAGTGATGGTGCATGCCTGTGATCTCAGCACTTGTGAGGTAGAAGCAGGGGGATCAGGAGTTCAAGGCCAGTCTGGGCTACAAGAGGCTCTGTTTCAAAATAAAGACAAACTCTTTTCAGAATATTAAGGTGTGGAAGACATTGTTATTATTTTGCTTAAATGCATTTATTTTTAGGCAACCTATAAGACATGTTGGGATTTTTGTTGTTGTTGGTTTGTTTGTTTGAGACAGGGTCTTCTATAGCCCAGTGTAGCCTTAAACTCCACATGTAGCCAAGGTTGGCCTTCAACTCTGATCCTCTTGTTTTCTGTCTCCCGAGCGCTGGGATTACAGGTGTGCACTGCCCCATGTCCATTTGTTTGTTTTTGTTTGACTCCTTCTAAAAAACAATGTCTCAGGGCAAGAGAGATGGCTCCACCGTTAAGCATTTACTTCCTAGCACCCACATAGAGGTTCACAACTGTCTATAACTCTAGTTCAGGAATCCAGCATCCTCTTCTGATTTGCACAGGCCCTATAGGCATGTTATACACATATACAAATGCAGGCATGCGTGCACACACACGTACACAAAATACATAATAAACAGTTTTAGAAAATATTGCCTCTGTTCTGAATAAATCACATCAAAATAAATGAAGAGTTCAAGATGTCTTAGGCTGCACTTAAGTCCTTATGTTGTATGACTATGAAAACAGTAATAAGTCATGATCCCACGTGATGACCTGACAGTTTGGAGCTGCCCAAAATGAGGATAGAGTGGACAATCAGATGCCAGGACTGGATCCCACTGTGACTGTATCTATTTCCTGCTTTTGCAGCAAAGCCAAACAAAGACATAAATAGAAACTCAGGGCTTATCCACAGCTGGGAATTAAAAATACATCTGCAAAGCCAGGCATAGTGGAACATGCCTTTAATCCCAGCACTGGGGAGGCAGACAGAGGCAGGCAGATCTCTGTGAGTTCAAGGCCAGCCTGGTCTACAGAGTGAGTTCCAGGACAGCCAGAGATGCACAGTGAGATCCTTTCTTGACACAAACAAACAAATAAACAACAACAAAACCCCTAACAGCTGCAAACACATAGCCTCCTGAAAACCTGCCTTGCCCTAGTAGTCACAGCTGGCCAGCGAACTGGCCGTACCTGAGCTTAGACACTGGTCAGTCAGGACTGGACTCCCAAGTGTGGACCCCTTTGTATCATGCAGGGTCTTGGGATGGACGCCTTAGTTGAGAGCTCTTCCTTTGTTAGCTACTCCTTGGACTTTGGTGAGACACAGCCCTGTCTGGCTCTCGCTCAGAGTCCAGTCAGTCACCTGTTTGCTCAGCTAGACGTCCTAAGAAAAGCTTCACCCCTCAAACGCAGTTTTGGACTCAAGAACAAAGCTCTGGTAACAGATCCAAAGTAACTGTTCATTTTTGTAACATTTTTCTTTTCTCTCCCCATGCCCTCCCCTACAGGTTTCACTGTGTAGTCCTGCCTGTCCTACTTACTCTGTAGACCAGGCTGGCCTCAAACTCAGAGATCCTCCTGCCTCTGCCTTCCAAGTGCTGGGATTAACACCTATGTCACCACCACCCAGCTAACCTTTTTCTTTTCTTTTTGTTGTTTTAAAATTTATTTAAAACTTATGTGTGTGCCCGTGTGAATACGTGCACATGTGAGTGCAGGTGCCCTACGATTCCAGAAGGCTAGAGTTATAGATGGTTGTGAGTCACCTGATGTGGGTACTAGGAACTGAACTCAGGTCCTCTGCAAGAGCAGTCAGTGCAAAGAGCTAGAAAGATGGCTCAGCAGTTGAGAGTACTTGCTGCTCTTCTAGAGGATGTGGACCCCAGTTCAACACTCAGCACCCACACTGGGTGTCTCTTAACCTCCTGTAACTCCAGCTCCATGGGATCTGACACTTTCTAGTCTCCATAGATACCCCTACACATGTGTCACACACACACACACACACACACACACACACACACACACACACACACACACTCACACCCACTATGGCACCTGGAAGTCAGATGACAGCTTACAGGAACTGGTTTCGTTCCTTCCCACCATGTGGGCCCAGGTCCTCAGACCTGGTGGCAAGAACCCTTACCTGAGCCACCTTGCCCCCTTGACTCAACTTTCACATAATGTAGGTTTCTTTTGTGAAGCTGACCTCCTGCAGTGACGGTTCCTGACTGTATCAACCCGGATGATCGCTGCACTTGGGGAATCTGGGCAGAGGAGTTCCACCCCTGAGCGAATCACACAGTTGCACATTGTCCTCTGTCCTACTGCCTATCTAGCCTTCCCGCCTCTTCAGGCACAGCCTGTCCGTGATGTCCCAGATCTTGTAAATGCTCAAGAACATCTGGAGCCCAATAAAGTCCTAATCGTGTTGGTGGCTGGAGGATGCCCAGGGTGCTGGGGGCAGGGTAGAGTTTGGTGGAAATATTGTTTAGATGTGTTGTGACGTTTTAGTTTTTCTACAGGTATGTAAGACAGGGTCTCTCTGCGTTCTCCACATAGCTCTGGCTTTCCTAGAACTCACTATGTGGACCAGGCTGGTCTTGAACTCGACCTCCTGGGTGCCAGGATTAAAGGTATGCACCACCACACCCAATTTCAAAGATCTTTTTAAACTAGGGATTGAACCCAGGGCTTTGCATGTTCTAGGTCTGTGTTTTCACCCCTGAGCCCAGTCTCTAGCCCCTGTGAAGGATTAAGTCTGCAGTTTGCATATACTTTAGAATTTGTTCTTTGTGTGATCTACGGATGGTTTATTCATTTTTTACTTTCTTTACTATTATTGTGTGTTGTGTATGTGATGTGTATATGTCAGGGTGGGTCTGGGAGGTCAGAGGACAACTCTCAGGACCTAGTTCTTCCTGTCCACTGTGGCCTCTGAGGATCCAGCTCAGATCTTCAGGTTTACACAGCAAATACTTACCTGCTGAGTCATCTCGCAGGTCCTGTTCTATGGATATTTTAAAAGGAGATGTGTGTGTGTATGTGTGTGTGTGTGTGTGTGTGTGTGTGTGTGTGTGTGTGTGTGTGTTTTAATAGGACCTACTTCTTCTTTTATTAGTCTAGTTCTAAAACACACACAAGAAGCATACACCTAACTTTAGGTCAATATATGTCCATATTTACTCTTAACCTTTGCACCCCTTTATCCTGACAGTGATGTGCCTGTCCTTCTATTTTCTTTTCATTATTTTGATGTTCTATGTTTAATATAGAAGTTCTCTCTGTGTGTGTCTGTATACGTGTGTTGGTGCATGTGCATGCAGGAGCCCTTGGATCCCAGAAAAGGAGATGGATTCCCTGAGGTGAGTGATGCCACGTGGGTGCTGGGAAGCAAGTTCCAGTCCTCTGCAAGAGCAGCTCGTGTTGGAGCCATTTTTCTATCCCCGTGTGTGTGTACAGTGTGTGTGTACACATGTGTGTGTGTGTGTGTGTGTACGTGTGTGTGTGTGTGTGTGTGTGTGTGTGTGTGTGTGTGTGTTAAACAATCTCATGTAGCTCAAGCCAGCCTTGAACTCCTGATCCTCTTGAGTCTACTTCCTAAGTGCTGGTATTGCTAGTAGGTGCCAGCTAGTGTCACAATTATTGTTTTTAAGTCACTATTGACATTCCTGACTTTATTTCATTTCCTTTTACTTAGCTTTATCTGTGCTTTCTCACATAAACCTTGTATGCTGTTTAACTTTTTTCTTTATATTTTGCAAGAAGAGTTGGGGAGAAGGCACAGAGGTTCAGAGCACTTGTTCTTGTAGAGGACCCCAGTTTGGTTCTCAGCACTCACATTGTGGCTCACAACCATTCCTAACTCCAGTTCCAGGAGATCTGATGCCCTTTTCTGACCTTCCCTGGTACCAAGCATGCATATGGTGCACATACATACATGCAGGCAAAATGCCCATCTACATAAAATAAAATGAATAGATTTAATTTAAAAGTGAAATAAAATTTTGAATGAGGAACTGGAGATGGTCCAGTGATTAAGAGCATTTATTGCTCTTCCAAAGAACCCAAGTTTAGTTCTAAGCACCCACATCAGGTAACTCACAAACACCTCTAACTTCAGCTCCAGGGGAATCTGATGCCTCTGGTCTCTCTGGACACCTTCACACACACGCATACCCACCCATACAGACAAATACATGTGCATATAATTTAAAATAATAAAAATAAGTTTTCAAAAATAAAAGTTTGAATGAGTAAGATATTTCCATGGTCCAAAGTTTCATCTTTATATATTTTTATTTTTCTGGAACTCACCAGGTAA